GAAGCTGCCCACAACCTCTGCAGCGCTGGTTCAATCCCTGGCCACTGGGCGAGGGTCCCACATGGTGCGCAGACCTCTCCTGCCGCCTGCTGCTCCCCTCAGCAGTGTACTTCATCACTCTGCCTGTTCTGTTCCCCGCTCTGGCTCTGGTGAATTCTCTCACCCTCCCGTGCTTCTGACTGTACCCAGTGCTTGTATAACTAAATAAATAAATAAATCTTTTAAAAAGTCATTTATTTTATTTTATTTTTAAAATTTAAGTTGTTGCTGTAATGATGCTGCACAATCAAAAAAAATCAGGAGAGGGAGAGTGTTGGCCTGAGTTTCTGGGAGCTTTCATTATTCTGTGCCTCAACCATTCTGTCTTTGCCTTGACTATTCTGTGCTTTTCACCCAGAATATGACCAGGGAAAGACTTAGCAAAGGAACCTCTCAGGGCAAAAGTCCTAGTTTGAGGATCGAAACATGTTGAAAACAGCACAGATGTTATGCTTAGAGTAGCAGAAACACCGAGGCTTCCCTTGACTGTCCCTGATTTCCCAGTTGGGGCTGGGACCAGATGGTTACTCAGCCCCCACACCCTTATACATTCCCCTGTGCCTGCTTGCTCCTTTGTTTTATCTTCGGCTTGATTCTAAATAAAAACGAGACTGCCCTTGGAGCTGGGCTGCACCTTCATGGTGTGGTCCCTCTAGGCGTCCCATTGCTCTGCACATGGCCTCTGAGTAATCCTTTTAGATCCCGCACCATACGCCATAACAAGACACGAGTTTAATGCAAACAACAAAAGACAGAAAACATCAAAATGAAAACCACTATTTGCATAGATTATCCAGTCTAACCCATGACCACTGTGTAAGTTGTGAGATATTATGATCCCCTTAACCTAAAACTATGAGGAATGAGACTCAGAAGCTCAGCCCAGGTCACACAGCAGGGAAAGGAGGTGGCAAAGTGGAGGTGATGACCAAGGCTGTGGGCCCTGTGAGTAGGGGACCCAGATCTCTGACACCCTCCCCCCCAACCCCCAACCCCTGCTGTGGAGCTGCAGTGAGGAAGGGTCTCAGAGCTGAGGAGGCTGAGGCCTCCGTGTGGTCAAAACCACTGGAAACATCCAGAGGGAGGGTTGGGTCCTCTTAGTGACGGGCGCCCACTTCCTGCCCAGGCAGCCATATGTGATTAAGTTGAATTTAAAAATTCCTCCTGATGTTGCTTTTGTGATGGAGGGAGACACCGGGAGAGAGGAGGTGATGACAGGCTGGGCCCTGAGACTGCTGCAGAAATGACCAGGTTCTGACCTCTAGGTTCAAACAGAATAAGGATAAATCTTCACATTATTATATTTGAATATTAATTATATGACAGGTGACCATCACTAGCACAGGAAAGGCAGACCATCACTTCTGCTTTTAGGGTTCTTTTGCAGGGAAAACAATCCCAATTATTGGCCTCTGTGGACCCAGCACAGCTGACCTGGTGACCCTGACAGGAACATGGCTTTCCCATAGCCTCTCCCAGGAACTTGCTCAGAAGTAGGTTAATTACCAGAGTCAGGGGTCCTGTCATATTAGCCCCACGTTGGCATCAGTGAAGGGACAGTTATGTCAGTCTCCCTGCATCACATCATGTGGCTCATGAGGATAGAAGGTCTGTGTTCCCCACGTGTCCCCGGACCTGCCCGCTGATGCCAGTAGGAGCCATGGCACGTGCTCAGGTCCTAATCACCGTCCATTTCCAGGCCTCCCTTAACCCCCGCGAGATTCCCTATCATCAAAGGAGTGGTTCTGAAACCTTAGTGCAGAAAATCTAGGATGACTGTTGAAAAGGCAGATTCCTGGATCATCCCTCAGAGAACCAGGTACAGCACCTCTGGGGCATATTTTGAGAATTTTCTTTCTGAGATGAGCTCCAGGTATTTGGGTATCACACATTAGGAATCATGATGCTAGAGCAGAGTTTCTGAATTCCTAGCAGGTAAGCAAATAAGAGAAGACCTGATCCTGTCATTCTGGGGCTGGTCCTGAAATCTATTCTCACAGACATGAAAGGTGTAACATAAAGATTAAGTTTTAGTCTACATCACTTTACCTTCTTTATGAAGGGATTCACCATATAACGTGTCTGAATTCCAGTGTCCAGATCCCCAACGGCCCGTCCATCAGCAGGTGCATCACAAGGCGTGAGTTTGAGCTCTGTGAGGGTCAGTGTGTGCTCCGGGCCCAGCCCTGTTCACCTGTCTGCGCCGTCTCAGCATCACAGGCCGTGGGCAGGTTCCCATCACGTCACAGGGGCTGCGTGCTCCTTGGATTTGCCAGGATGGAACCGATGAGCTGTCCCATTTGAATCAGTTTCATCATCAGGTGGCACATCTGTGCCCAGGCTGAGAGGACATGGTTTGAGTAGAGAACACAGGAGCACACCTTCTGCCACTGTCTCTTCCTGCTGTTGCAAGGCCAGGACCCTGGGTCCTGGCCTGGCCCTCAAGTGCACGTGCCATTTACATTTCAGGTGGGAGCTTTTTCTGCACTTTCCCTCTATCAGACTTTGACTCACAGAAGACCCCCTGAGATGAGAAGCCACATCTTTTTCTTTGGTGTGATATTGGTAATTAGTAGGGCTTGACAACCCAAAGCAGTCACATCGCAGAGAGCCTGTGCTCCTTCGAGGTGGAGGGAACCTTATTCAAACAGCTCAGGACCCATGAGTAATGGGGATTCTCACTATTGAGGCTAAAACCATCTGTCAGGTTGATGAGAGGCACTTGATTTCTTGATTTTGGGGAGGAGAGAGGACAAATTCAGAGATTGTTTCAGACTTTAGTGAACCAATTCCAAGGGCTCCTTTCAAATTTGACTATATTTCTGGTGACCTCATCAGATAATGCAGAAGCATCCTCAGTCTGTAGGTGCTGCTTCCAATTCCGCAGTGAGGCCAGAGGGACCGTTCTCCGTTGTGCTGGCCGTGCACGGTCAGTGGTTCCTGAGGAGGTTCTGTGCTTCCCAGACCCCAGGTCTAATCTCATGTTGATACAGGGCAGCAAGGGCCACTAAATTGTCCATGGACACTGCCCAAATAGTTCACCGTTCACTGAGTTCTTTACCTGCACGCACAATTGCAAGACTACTCAGGCTCAGGGAACAACAACAAAGGAATTTATTTAAGAAACCAGGGGAAAGCAAAGAGTTGCTCAGGCCAAAAATGGCCTTTATCTCACCCAAAGCAGTGTCCAATATCATTTATGGCAAAGACCTGTCAGTGAGACATGCCAGTGAAAAAGAAGGACCATTATTATATACTAATAATGAGTTGAATCCAGTCATTTGAAAACTCTATGTTAACATGTAATTTGCTGTATCCCCTCAGCTCCACAGCAACAGTGAAATGGTGGGAACACTTAATCTGTGGTAGACTGTGGCAGGCTGCGCCTCCCATGCTGTCTCTTGACAAGGTCCGGGCATTGGGGGAGACTCCTGAGAAGCGGGGAGTTCCTGTGCTCCCCCGAAGAGGGAAAGTTGTACTTCCCAGAAGAGGGGAGTTCTTGCACTTCCCAAAGAAGGTCTGAACTGGGGAGTCTCCATGGCAATGCCTGCTAATGCTCTCCTCTTTGTTCTTGGTTAATGCTAAAGTAAGTTAGTTATTAACTGGCATGTGAAAACCTAATTCGGACCCAGGTGACAATTGTCCTTATGCATGAACTATCACTAAAGAAGTAAAAATTGTTAAAGGTATAGTTAGGAAAGAAATGTTTCGGCCCTAAGAACTATGGAGAACAAGCTGCCCTGAACCAGCTGTGCTTGGAAACCATAGCCTATCCTGGGGGGTACCTGTTTGCGGCAACAATACATTTCCAGGTGTATGAGGTCAAATATTTGCAGTGTGGAGGTTAGGAATTTCTAGTTAAGAGTTAGACTTCAGTAGAACTTACGTAGATTTGATGAGTTGTCTTAGACCACTTTGAAGTAATTAATATATTAACCAAGTTAATTGAGTGCTAGGAGATAGATTGATTTTAGTAATTGAATATAGAATAGGAATTTTACACCCACTTTTGTAATTGGGAAAGTTTAATTGTTGCCAAATGTTGTGCTGTCTTGTATGATTGACCATGCTAGTAAATGAGCTGTACCTAGGAAACTAATTGTTTTAAGGTTACCAAAGAAATGGCCTACAGGTGTAAGGCCAAGGGAGTCTGAACACGATCATGAGAAAATATGTATTGATTGTCTTTGCTCTGCTTCAATGCTTACGCTGATGTAATCCCACCGCTCACCTTAAGGTATAAATAAAGACCCGCTGAGACCCTCAGCAGGAGATACTTGCACAAAATAAGGTGTCCATATCTTCCTCACTCCTACCTCACTCCACTTCCCCTCAGCCCTCCAAAAGAGAAAAACTTCGACTCCGTCCTCTCCTTTTTGAGATCCCCTACATGACTTCTAGCTGGAGCTGGTCTCCAGCAGTAGACCTAACAGTAAACATGATTCTCAGTAGACTCAATTCTTTAAAAAATCATAGGTGGTTCATTAGAGAATGATCATAGACAAAATTATAGTTCAGTGTTGCAAAGAGAAAAAAGGATTAAAAACACTACGATTTGTTGTAATCAGCAGAATAAGTTTGTTGGAAGATGCTGCTTTCTGGCCATGTGGTTGGATATATAAATGGTGTAAAAAAATAATAATCTGCAGAATCAAGTACAAGATCCATCTCAGACCCAGCAAACAGCAAAGGCTGGGGACCCAGTGATGGTGCAGGTGCAACAAGACACAAATTGGGGGACTCAGTCAGCAGGAGTCAGGCTTTGTGGTCAAATGAGTTCGATGCCAAACTAAAGAGGGTCAGTCCACCATTCAGCACTGCTAGGCCAGGAAGCCTGGGCTGATCTCAGCCCCAGTCAACTGTCAGGCACAGCCTGGAGGATCTCAAATTTTGGTTTTGAAGTTTGGCTTTATCTGACCCTTTGGTTTCTTTACGTCCATTTAAAAATGACATCACCGGTATTTGCCTTCCTCTTTTGACTTATTTCAATTAATGTAATCCCTCCCAGCTCCATCCATATTGCTGCTGATGGCATGAGTTTGTTTTTTGATCCCTGAATAGTGTTCTGTGTATAAACCACAGCTTCTTGATATCTCATCTGTTTTGGGGCATTTAGGTTGTTTCCATAGCGTGGCTATTACAAATAGTGCAGCAGTGATCATGGGAGTGCAAGTTTCCCTTCAAAGCAGTGTATTTGTGCATGTGGGTAGATACCTCGAAGTGGAATTGCTGGGTCTGATGACAGATGCACTTTTACTCTTTTAAGAAACTTTGATACTGTTTCTCATAAGGGTTGAACCAGTCTACATTTCCAAAACCAGTGTATTTCTCCATATCCTAGTCAGGACTTGTTTCTTCTGGTGTTTTTGATTTGAGCCATTCTCAAAGGTGTGATATGGTTTCTCATTGTGATTTAAACCAGGGGCTCCTAAAGTCACAAAATGGGGCCAGAAGAAATTCTGCATCACTCACTCAGTCCACACAAGATTGCTATGTCACACTGTGAAAGAAAATAACCATGAAAAATTTAGGTGACTAAGAGCTGACATTCTCAAAAGTCCACTGCATCCTCAGAATGTCCCCTCACAGCTTCCCCATAACCTGGGCCCATCCTTTCTGCCCCAGCCCCTCCCACCACAGGCCTCCAGGGTCTCACCTTTAGACGCTGAGAGACACATCAAAGCCCTGGGCACTGTTGCTGCCTGGGGGAGAACAAAACAAACAAACAAAAACAAACAACAACAACAAAAAAATCCCAAAACCTAGTCAGAGCCACAAGAGATAAGAATGAAGGAGGAACTTATGTGGGTGACTCCCCCACAGGTTCCATCTACATTATCCGGAAAAAGTAGAGTATTCTGGACCAAGTGTCTCTCTAGTACTGAATATGAAACCCAGGCGGGCCCCTCTCCCACCAGAAGGAGAGCCATGTTCTGACCATTACTACATTTCCCTCTTGGGGTATCAGTTAGAGGAGAGGTGGGAGGCCTCATGATCCCTCTTCCTTGTTGCTGAAGCACCTCCTTCCAGTACTGCAGGAATCTGCAGAGCCACATTAAGCATCTACTCTGCACACTGTGCCTGAGGCGTGCTGCCCTGCCCCAAGCTTCCCACTCCACGCGATGATCTGGGCCACTGTGTCCCTCATGGTCCAGAAGCACTGGTCCTTTCATGACGTAATAATCAGCGCAGTCGTACTGATCATACCTGCAGAGGAATGATCATACTGATCATTCATGACGTAATAATCAGCGCAGTCGTACTGATCATACCTGCAGCGCAGGTGTACTGATCATACCTGCAGAGGAAGCTCTGTCAGGTCCAACATCACAGTCACACAACCTCTGCATGGTGTGAGACCAGGAGCCTCCCCCTGGCCCCGTGTCAGCCCACCCACATCCCTCCCTCCTGGAAAAAACCTAAACTGAGGATGCAAACTCAAGGATGAAAGCCCTGCGGGTGCGGGAGGGTCCAACGGCTTCAGAGTGATGCTGGGTCTCCGAGATCATGGGAATGACCTAGAGCGCGACACGTACCAGGCTCACTCTGGCTGTAGTACCTGCGTGGGGAGTCTAGGAGCGCTAGGAATATCTGTGTGTTGTTGTCTTGGACCCGCCTGCGTCTCCTCGTCCGGACCCTCATGGCCCACCCATTCCACCCAGGGGCCCGCAGCTCCATCCTCGGAATCACGGCGTAGCTGTCTAACTGCGTGAACTGCATGTTTATGCATACCCCATGGTGACACGATGTAGAAAAGCGTCATGGAGGGGGAGCCTGAAGGCTGGGAGGGGGAGACCCGGTTAACCTTCCTCCCAGCACAGGTCTGGGGCCCCAGGGAGATGGGCCTGGAGGGGTTTGGAGTGGGAGAGGGTGGAGACAACTCATAAGATTGGACTAGAAGGGAGAAGGAGATTCAGGCCCTAGGTGGGGAAATTCAAGTGACCAGTGTGAGGCTGGGAGGGACAGAAAGGGACCCGGACAGGGCTGGCCAATGGGTGACAACTGGGTTGGCTGAGGAGACATGCCCTTCTGGGGGTCCTGTGGCTTAGTAAGGGCACAACTTGCTCCTCACTCCAGCAGCAGCTGTTTCCCTCTGGACACCGCACTCACCCACCCAGGTCTGGGTCAGCTCCAGGGACCCTGAGAGCAGCAGCACTAGGGTTAGGGGCCTCATGATCAGCACCCTCAAATTCTGGGGTCATTTGTTACAGAGCAGGGAGAAGGGTGCCCCAAAGCCCCCAAAACTGCCTGCTCTAAATAGGTTCTGCCATCCCCCGCATCAAGACAAAACATAAGACTTTTTAAAAAAAGGTTTATTTATGCATACAAGAGCTGGGGTTCAGGCTAGAGGTGCAGGGGTGGGAGTGGGGTGGCGGGGTGAGGGGGTGAGAAGATTCACCAGAGATACAGCAGGGAACAGAATAGGCAGGCTGACTGAAATACACTGCTGAGGGGAGCAGGGGGCGAGACAGGAGAGGTCTGTTGCACCGTGTGGGTTGCTTCCTGGCTGGGCATGGAACTTGTGCTGCAGAGGCTGTGGATTGCTTCATAGTGCAGTGCTTAACCCCTTGCACCACCAGGGAGGCCCCAAAACATAAGACTTTAATGAAAAGGAACTTTAATACAATTAGGGAACAATACAGAAAAGACAAAGAATATAGTTTCTAAATCCAGCACCCAAAGTTACCTGTCCCCTTATGGGTAAAAGTCCAGCCAAATGGGATTGGCCCAGAGCAAAGCCCCAAAGCAGGGACCCATAGAAAAGGATCAGAAACAACCAGACAAGGAGGAAAAGAGCAAAATCAAATCAAGATAAAAGCTGCCATTGTCTCTTCCCCACTGGTCTCTCACCCACATCTGTGTCACGCAGTCCACGACCAAAAGGCAAGTGCAGTTTCTTCACATGTTTCTCTGCTCCATGTGCTTCCTCCAGGGCTCCTTCTGGTTCTCCAACTGCATCCTTCCTTCCCTACTCTCATCTCTAGCTTCTTTTCCTTTCTGCTCCACCCTCCTTTGGGTGGGGCAGGGAACCTGGAACTTCCCTTTTTCCTGGACATCACTCTGTTACAATTTGACTCCAGTGGAGGTTGGTGGAGCCTTTACACCTGGGCATCATGGTGACATTGATTGCTTCTCTGGAACCCTGAGGTTCCAGAATGGGAAGTGAGAACTGGGGATGAGTCACAAAAATCCAGGAAGGAGGACTGGCACAGGTGGTGAGAGGAAGAAGTGAAAGTGAGTGGAGGATGGGATATACCCAACAGCAACCTTCCCACCCTAGACACAGCCCTGGAGGCTGAGACTATGAGACCACCACCAGGGGACCTGGAACTTTGCCTGCCCCCTCCTCTCCTGTATGGCAAGCTTTGTCACAGTGTCTCCTGAGTACAGGCCCAGGTGCTGATTCAGCGATTCTCAAACATTTTCCTTCCAGAATCTCTACAGTCTTACAAATTAGCCACAGCCCTGAGTATAATTTTGTTCACAAGGTTATAGCTATCCACTGAATAAAACTGCTTTTAATGATGTTACTATTTTATTTAGAGTAATATTAAAGCCAATGTACATTAACAGAAAGTGTTTTAAAGAAAAATAACTATTTCTGAAAATAATCAGGGCAATGAGAAGAATGGATCTTTTACATTTCATATTTTTGCAAATGTTTTTGTCTCATTAGAAGACAGATTTTCATTCACGCTTCCTTCTGCATGTAATCTTGTGAAGTCTATGAAAAATACACACAACCTCACAAAAATATGTAGACGTGGTTTTTTTAGATAATTGTGAATGTTCCGCTTTGATACTAAATTAAAACTATACAAGTAGTAGTTTCTTGAAGGTTATTTGCAAAGTGAAATCTGAAATATCATTGAATAATTTCATATTCTATTCCATTTCCATAGTCCTTTTTTACATATTGAATGGATTTTTTACAAATGTATGCATTTTTAAAAGAAATGCATTATTTCACTGTTACATATGTTATCATTGTTAATTGCAACAGAATCAAATTATCAAAAACTCATACCCATTTTTTTACATAAATATCAAAAGAAAATATTAGCGCTAGAAGTTGTCAAGTTAGTGATGGGACACAATTTTCCGTAATTTTTTTCTGACAGCTTATATTTTATCAAGGTAAAATTACTGTCAGTTGACGATCATCACTGATTTTCTTAAAGGATTAGACCAGGAAAGTGTGTGCCAATTAACCAATCTAAATATCCATAGTTTCTGTAAGTTATCCATTCACATAAACATGGCATTGCCTTTAAAAAAAAAAAAAGAAAGAGAACCTAATTCATCTCATACAATTACTTTCCTTGGAAAACAGTGCTTGGGAATGCTGCAGAAGTGCTGTGTGTACTTCCATGTCATCAATCAGATAATTTTTAATATGTGGATTTTCGGATGATTCAATTGTGAAGATAATTTTGACGCTTCAACCAGGACATTTCAAGTGAAACTAGCTTGAGTTTTTGTGTTGCAAGTAAGTGCTGGTGAAGAATTACTACTACTGCAGTTGGTACTACTGTTAGGGCAATTTCCCCCAAGAAATCAGACGGCACTCAGAGAGGTGGAGAGAGAGATTTAATTGTCACACTGGTGGGCTCAGTGGGATCGTCCCCCTAAGGGCTGAGCACCCAAGAGTAAAAATGGCAATATTTTATAGTTTGTATGCGGAAACTTGCCATCCCATCCATCATAGCATAAGCATTCTTTATTGTTCGGGAAGGGGGTCAAGGTGGTCATGGCTACCACCACGGACAAGCAGTGCAGACACCCAGCAACTTCTCCACTTCAGCAAGCAGCAGAATCAAGGCAGTAGACTCTCCCAAGCAGCAGCCTTGGGAAACCTCCTGCTTCACTATAAGCTCCATTTTATAAAGTTTTACCTCAACAAATGTCAAAATAGTGAAAAGGCAAATAGTGTCTAAGAGATGTTTTGAAAATACTTTTTTTTTTAAAGGTATTTTTTTTTTAAACTTTTTTTTTTTTTTAATAGAGGCATGTTTTTATTTATTTATTATATTTGTTTGTTTGTTTTGTTTATACATGCACTGGGTACAGTCAGAAGCGCGGGAGGGTGAGAGAATTCACCAGAGCCAGAGCGGGGAGCAGAGCAGGCAGAGGGACTGAAGTACACTGCTGAGGGGAGCAGCGGGCGGCAGGAGAGGTCTGCGCGCCATGTGGGACCCTCCTCCGGTGGCCGGGGAGCAGCCGGGGATCGAACCGGCGCCGCAGAGGCCGCAGGCAGCTTCGCAACCCAGCGCTCAACCGCTGCGCCACCGGGGAGGCCCTGTTTTGAAAATACTTTTGATCTCATGGATCCCATGAAACATTCTGGGTGACTTCAAGGGTTTCACAAACTACATTTTGGCAAATGCTTTTCTCAGTGAACCAGGGAGTATCTCCCAAGTGTTCTCTGCCTTTGCCTCCTCTTCACTTCCCAGCATCCCTCTCCCTGGCTGGCTCCTGCCTCCCCAAGCTGCCTCCCCTGCAGATACAATGGGGAGCAGAGAGAGGCCCGTGGAGATGTGGAGCCTGCACTGTCAGGAGAGATGGACACTGAGTAAAGGTGACAAAGACACGTGTAAACCCCACCTGAGCCCCGTGCTGGGAGGAAGGAGCAGGTTTATTGTGAAAGCAGAGAAGTAGGAGTGCTAACAGGTTTGAGCCACTATTATCAATAATATCATAAGGTATAAAAATATTTTTAAAAATTGGTATAAGGAAAAAAGATCTTATAAAATTGTATATACTCATAGAATAAGAGAGTATTCCTGGAAATTAGAAATTTAATCATAGAAATGAATAATATCAGCAGATGAACTTTATATTAAAATAATATAAAAGTTATATTAAAGGTAATATAAAAGTTATATTAAAGTATATTAAAGTCTCACTCCCACTAAGTAAAAGAAATGGAAAAGAAATGACAAACAGAAGATCTATAAGAATATGAGTCTAC